GCCACTATTAAAAACATACTGTCCAAAAGTGAAGCTGAAGAATGTGTCCATGCATTTGGTATTTCAAGGCTGGACTGTAGTAATTCTTTTTATTTAGGAATCCCAACACCTTTGTTATATTCAAAACACTGCAGCCAGAGTTCAGACGAAAATTAAAAAGATAATCTTTTGCCATTTTTAGTTAAAAAAATTCTTCTTCTAACATAAAGTCAAAAGTAAGTTATAAGTCTTTACAATCATGTTGTTTCAAGACTTTAGAACGACATGCTGTTGGAACATCAGACCCGGGTTGACAAGTTATTTTACATAATTATTGAGTGCGATCTAAAAAGCCAAAGCAACTTTCCAAAGTTTACATTAGATAAACAAGGGGCAGCACAGGTGAGAAGGATTTGTATGGATAAAAGAGCGAAAAAATAAAGCACATTAACATGTCCTGGCTTTACTTCTTTAGGTGATATAATTGGTCCTATCTCTTAATCTTTTCTCACTCATGGACATAGTTATTGGCTAAGCCTTTATTATAACTTAGTCTTTGTACTTTCTTTCTATCTTATCTATCTTCTAGATCTTGATTCTGGCTCAGAGCTCATCTGCACTGCTGTGTTTTTATGGTTGAAGAAGTCAGTACCGTTTACCTTTATCTCTCATAGAAAGCATAACAGGATTAATGCTTCTCTATTCTTTTTGCATGTCTGCACAATAAAAGAATCCCCCACTTGGTCTCGGAAGAAGGCGGTTGACACTGTGCGTGGTTCTGTTGAAGGATTCTTTCTGTTAGAGGGAAATTTTCCTTTCGACTTTTACCACACACAGGCTTGGTATGAGATTGCTGCAAAGTCAGGGACACAAGTGACTGTCTTCAGCAAGTTACCACATGCTCATCCAGGAGGAGTTAATGCTGCAAGGCAATGATGAGATACAGTCTCCTGGAAGTCCTTAGAAAGACACCTTTTAATCATCTGCACTTGTAATAGTTGCTTGTATCCAAACCGTCCTATTGTTACACAACACCAGGCAGTTGAAAACTTAAGCCCGTCACTGCTGCTGTGTTGCTACCTTATTTCATGTACTCCCTGAAATATATGTATAACTGAATCAATTTGTGATTCTTTTATACATATAAGTAGAAGTTAGCATAATTTTATTATCTGTTTTTTTTTGGCTGAAGTCATAGTTTCATTGTCAACCAATGCTGGGTTACCCAGTTTAGCAATAAAAAATAACAGATCATGCAATTCCTCTTTTAGAAATAGACAAAAGCTTCATCTGAAAATAGTTAATATTTAAACAAAAAAAAATAGTTTTACTTTTCACCTTCATTACAATAACTTTGTATTATTGGTATCAACAAAGATAATAGAAATATTTCATAGTGCGGAAATCCATGCATGACAAAATCTACAGCAAAACAAAAAGGTTTTAAAAGAGATCATCTAGGATTTTGGAAGGGAGGTTTTGTTAAAAGATTATAATAAGGTTATTTCTTACCTCCAGTATATATTTCCTGTTGTGTTTTCATTTTATATAAATCCAGATTCCTAGAAGCTAGAACTGATAGGGTCTAAAAACAAAGGTGCTTGCAGTTATAAACAGCGGTGATGTTTTGAAGACTAGACTTTTTTTTTTAACATCAAAGCCCACAATTTTCTTGGCCTTTTTTGGGCTAACCCTCTACTTTAGCCCCTGAGCTCTTAAACAATAAATATAGTGAGAAGGAAGACGTACAGTATGGGTAAGAAATTAACTGGTTATAACATTTTAATACAGCGCCACTTTAAAAATCTCAGGCCATCCTTTTGAGCGTTGATTATTTATTGCATTCATAACAGTCAAGTTAAAAAGGTAGACACTCCTGTGATTCAAAGACTAAAAAATAATATAAAAAACAAAGGAACATTTCAAAAAGCTGAACTATGAAATGGTGATTGTGTTATCGTGCACTGTTTGCTCTGTTTTGGCCGACCCATTCTGATCTGCTGCTGGCTCCTCTACCATTGCTGACTTCTTTGATGTTCCTGTTCAGATTTTAGGGGGATAAAGAAAAAAATTGAATAAATAAGAAGGATGACATAATAACTCTTTGTAAACCTTAATCTACCGTGTTTAAGGATTCTTGTCGCAGAGTTACCTGTAAGGTAATTTCTGTGCATTCGATGAAACAGCAGGAGACCAATGAAGAGGATAAAACCGATGCAGGCGATTATCATTCCACACAGCAAAAAGCTGTAGCTCCCCGCAGTTTGTATGATCTGTTGATAAGACAGCACCATTAAACATAAATCCAAATAAAAACTTACGTTTGCCGATAAAGATAGAATTCTTCTCATGTGTAGATTATCTGTAAACAAATAAAACTTACAGAACCAACTAGAACCTGCATCACCATCTCTCCCATCCCTGCACTTGTCACCAGGACTGAGGTGGCACATCCTGCAAGAAAAAAAAAAGAAAAAAAGGTTACTATTCCATTTTCCTTTCAAGTAAAGTGTTATCTTTATTTAAAGGTTTTTCTATACCCTGGTAATCAAGAATATCTTCAGTGTAGGCAAGCATACAGGGGAATATACTGCTCAGGAAAAGTCCACATAAACAGGTTCCAACAAAGAGAAAGATGCTGCTGGTGTAGAAAATGAGCAACATCAACACTGTAACAATAGCTCCTGCCTGAAAAAAAAAAAAATAAACTTTAGCCCATTGTTACTTGTAACAGAGTTTAAATCTGTGTCCTTTATTGTGTTTCCTGTGTACCGGTATTTATTTTTTTCATCTGGATATATTAATGTAATTTGTTGATCAATGTGCAGTAGAAAACTAACTTCCTATACTGTATACGTTTTGTCTAATATTTAACATGGTGGTGGCAGTATCATGATTTGGGGATGTTTTCTCTGGCAGCATAATGAACGTCGTGTGAGTTTTTTTTTTTTTAAAGACAAACAGAGCTAATTACAGGACAGTCATTTAAAGAAAGGAAGTAGGGGCTGCAAAAGGCTTGAGACTGGGTCAAAGATCACCTTCCAGTTGCTCTAAACATACAGCCAGAGCTACTATACTCAACTGCTACAGCTCAATGTATATTTACAGCATATGAAAAAGAAAATTGGATGATTATTAAACAGTTAATAGTAATTAATTCACAAAGTGACACATGCAGGTATGACTTTAGTTATTTATGAATATATTCCACTTACAGCTCATAAAAAATAAAACTTTTAAAATTAGAATATTACAACCGACTAAAAAAGCCTTTCAATACAGAAATGTAGGCTCAATGAAATGCATGTTCAAAACCCGCCTAGGGGTTTTCATTTTCAGTAAGTGCTGATTTATGGATAGGACAGTATAACCACAACCTATCTCTGACTTAGGTCCTGTGATTGCTCATGAAAATTAATCTTCACAGGTGTTCTTCATTCAGTCTTACTGAGGCATACAATATGAATGGTATATGTTTCTGTCTCTCGATGGTTGCAAGAGACAGCACCCAAAAGATTTACAGCTGTAAATGCATTGAGAACCATTTTACAAAGCATGAGCTCAGCAGGATGAAATGAAATGCTCATCACAGTTCCCAGACTTCCTTAGTGAAAAACCTTTAAAACCATGTATCTCTTTTTGGAATTGCTAGTTTATGTTGGTTTATTACACAAAGAAGTTTGTTATTTAAAAAAAGAAAAAAGGGGGGAAATATTAGTGCAAGGTGCTGCGCTGTATTATGAGATAGTGTGCCACTAATTTCTTAATTTCAGCTTACCAGGTTGAACATCAGTAGTCTCACTGGTTGGAAACGATATGAAAGAGGAATGGACAAGAGTCGTCCAGCAGTGATTGCGGCCCAAAAAATACTAGCCAGGTAACCGGCTGTCTTGTTCGGCAATGACATCGGTGGAGCCACTGCGTAGGTATACACAAAGCCGGCATATGCTCCCTGTGAAGAAAATCCAGCATCTTTCATGTGCCTTGCATTCTATCTTTTATGGGATGCATATCTTGTAAAGACCAGTAAAAGTTTATGTGGAAAATAATGAATGGGAAATGAATACAGTGTAATTTATCAGCAGCCTTCACTCACCACAATGCCATCGGTCATAAAGAGCACCATCCCTCCAAGGATATGAATCATAAAGAAGGATACTGGCAATCCTCGCAAGTTATCATTCTGACAGCAGCTGAAGATACTCCCATGACCTGTGGGGGAAAAAAAAAGAAGTTAGAAATGATATATCTTATGCTTGAAGTAGCATTTATTGTTTTCTTTTCATATTCCCTGACAGAGCTTTCAATGAAAGTGTCTGTAATTTGTAAAGGAATATGAGATGAATTATAATAAAAGAAAAACAAAAAGTCTTTCCAGCATATACCTCCGGCTTCATGTTCCTTCTGCTCCAGGTCCGGGCCCCCAGCCCCCTGCTGGGTCTCCATTGCTAGTTCATCCTTGTCTAAAAGACGTGGAGTGCTGCCAGGGCAGCAAGGGAGTAACTTCTCCCGATACATGAGATATAGCACAGCAATGGGCACAGGAAGCTGAAAGAGCAAAATAGAATTATTTCTATCAAATAGAAAAAACATAAACTAAAATAAATATAAAAAGCCACTAATGAATGACTGCTGAGTCTCTTACATTAATAAGTGCCATGATCCAGAAAGCGTACTGCACAATGGGCTCCTCTTTCTCCCCTCCATCATGTGGCAGGTGGCTCTGAGTTGTGTTGTGCTCCATAATCGGACTGTGTCTCAGCATGCTCCTGAAATGATGCATGATCTCGGTCTCATTCCCCGTATGATTCCCACAGCCTGTTTCGGAGAGGAAAGGATCTGCAATCAGTGGGCTCACCAGGGCACCGAACCCAATGAAGAAGTGCAGAGCCTGCAAGAATATATAAGGACAATGTACAGTCAAAATGCTGGAGTTTTTGAACAAAAACTGCATATCTCTATCTTCTATTGTTTAAACAAATGTCTCCTTGCTGATAAAAAAATGGTAGATATATTTTACCTGTAAGAAAATAGCTGAATCCCTTTGATAGATGGTCACCAGTTGAATGTTTGCAATGGTGTCGATAATACCCATTGCAAAACCAGAAACAGCCATGGCAATAGCCAGTACAAGGACATTATTGCATACAGGGATGATGGCGAATATTACAGAGATGAGAAGAGCTGAGACAAATAGTGCAGCTAGAGCACTGAATAACCTTTAAGGACAAAAAGGGATAGAGAAAAATACAGTTAAAGAGAAGGAGAACCTCTTGCAGCTCACTTGTTTTGTGATACATACGTTCTCTTGAAAATCCCACCAATAGAACTGCCAATCAATAAGCAGAACTGCTGAGCAAAGAACACCCAGGTAATCTGACTAAGTGTTGAGTTTGTTTGACATTGCAAGTCCAAAATTGTAGGTCCAAGAAAAGCAATGCAGAGTCCAAAGCTGAAGAAAACGCTCCAGTAAGTCAGCGTGTGATGGGCATTTCGCTTGAATAGAGTTACAATCCGCTCATCTATGAACATCTTGAGTATAACTGACAGCCAAATATATTTGTTGAATATTACAGGTGGAGTATGCCAATGAAGATCTGAGGTTCTATAGAGTTCTGCTGCGGTGAATTTGGTTTATGGATCTCTTTTAAAGCATCCAGGTCTCTCCCTTTTTACATTGCTCAACTGAAAAGGATGTCCTCGAGTTAATGGATGAAAGTTGTTTCCTCCAACAATAATATGCCAATCTGAAAGGTATCAATGATTGACTGAGAAAGAGGCTCTTCGTTGAAATGCTACAAGAAAGTTAACAATTGTGTGTCAGTATCTGAGTCATTTTGATGGAAAATCTGATACAGGAAGGAACAACACAGATTTCTCATGTACTGCATGATCTGATTTGATAAATGTAAATAATTCAAAGGCTATATTTGGGAATGATAACCATCATGACAGATATGATCAAAAAAATTTTCATTCATTCATTTTAAATTTTAAATTTAAAAAAATCCATCTGTTATCTCAGTGGTATAATCCCTCAATAAAAGGGTGGAAGCATTTCAAAATGTTATTTTGTATTTTATTTCTTTGAAATTAAAACCTCCCCTTAATAACTAAATCTTTTTAACAACTTCCCGGTTACCACAACTCTTACATGTGCTGTAAAAAATGCAGAACAGAAGTTTTATTTTAATTCCATTTACTCTCATTTAATCTAAAATTTTCTGGATTTATGTAAGACAGTAATCCTGATGCTGGTTCACCTTAGCCATCTTTAAAATAGGAAAGGAAGAATAAACCATTTACTTAAGGTTGGTGTGGTTTGTCCTACATAAGTCAGAATAGGCTTAAAGAAGAAAGCTTATTGGCTAAACTTGCCCACATCTGTGATCAAAGAAACCACCTCAAATTTTGGAAACAATCATTAGTAAAGAAAAATGCTGAGTTCTTTATTAACATACAGTCCAGATGGATCCGATGTAATGTAGGAGTCCAACGCTACAGAATATCTTTGATGCTGTGAGCCTTTCTAGTTTCTAGCTTAGAGATCAGTCTTGTCCAAGTATAGGACAACAGCTCTAAATTCATCAGTCTAACAGGAGTCCTTAAAGTCAAGGGTTGTTTTAGAGCATAGCTCACACAGTTTTATTAAAAATATATATATTTATGTACTAATAATTTATTCCTCAATGGATGAATGCATTCAAAGAGCTAATTGAGTAAAAAATTAAATCAAAACAGTGCAACCTCATTTCACTGCATAAATGAATCCTTTTCTAAGGTTTCAATACCTGTGAACAGCATAGTACTGAACCAAATGCAGCCAGATAAATAAAATCCACACCATAAAATCCAGTTATTTATGACTATTCTAAAAAGCTTGCAAAGCGGTTACACTTAAATAAAATAAGCTAAAAAAAAGTAGGTATTTTAAGTAGTGCTACCCAAAGGTTTATTTTTAAAGTACACCTATAGCAGAGTTTAAGCAACTAAAATAATTAACTATTTAGCTGTTGTCTTACTTTAGATGTACACATTTGTTACATGCCTAAAATATTCATGAATCAATCAAAAACTGATTCCAATCTTCTAAAACATTGGGTAATCCAATTATAAATAAAAACTAAAGGTAACAACACAGTTTAAAATGTTTTCTTTTCTTCAAAGATCGTGTTTAATGACATCCACAAACATCATGCTGTAAAATCAGCAATAGAGTAAACACTTCAGAGGTATTTCAGCCAACTTTGGTAAAGTACTGGCCGACGGCCTAACAAAATCCCTAACAAAATTACGTAAACTTTACAATAAAGAGTACATGTGAAAAAAACAAACAAAGAAACAATATGAGCAAATAACGGTCCAAACAAGAGATTGAAAAAGCCTCAGGTAGGTTCTAGAGATCCTTAAGAACTATGTGTCTGTCAGCAATGATGCCGTACAGTAGACACTAAAGGGAGAACTGATTTCGACCGAGTAGCACATCTTCATGGACAACAGGCAGACACTTGGACCAAGGACAACTTTTAATTTCATGCTGTTCACTCTATATTTTCGTTAGAAAGTAAAATCAAGATATTAGATTCTAGATTACACAGTAATAGCAATGTAAAAAAAATATTTCATAGTCCCATTTCTGTCATCTAATACACGTTCTTCACATTTAGTGCTTCTTTATAACAAATACTGTAGGAGCGACATGCTGACTATAAATTCTAGATCTAATCTAAGATATTGGGCTGCAAGGTGGGCCGGTGGGTAGAACTGTTGCCTTGCAGAAAGAAGGTTTCTGGGTTCGTTCGGATGCACGGCCCGGGGGTCTTTCTGCATGGAGTTTGCATGTTTTCCCTGTGCATGTGTGGGTTCTTTTCAGGTACTCCAGCTCCCTCCCACAGCCCAAAAAACATGACTCCTAGGTTAATTGGCTTCTCTAAATTGTCATTAGGTGTGAGTGTGTGTGTGTGCATGGTTGTGTGTCTTTGTATGTCTCTGTGTTGCCCTGCAACAGACTTGCGACCTGTCCACGGTGTACCCTGGCTCTTGATCATAGACTGCTGGAGATAGGCATGTTGTGACCATTTGCTCTCTGTGTTTATTGTGCATATTTAACACAAATGTTATTTTATACATCTTATATAATTCAATAAAAAAGAAGCAACTTATAACTGTGCATTATCATTACCACTACAGTGTAGTGTAGTTATTTTTGCTTCTTCAATTCAAATAAAGTCATATTTTGAGTTTTTCACAATTGAAGTGACTTTTACTTCTCAAGCACAAATCATAATAACAAAATCTTACTAATCTAGTAAAGTTAATTCATATAGAATAAATCTGGACAGCTACTGTGTCTCAAAGCACTAGGAAAGAAACAGTCAGACAAACTCTGAGCTGGTTTTCATGTAAAAAAAAAAAAGGATGAAAGAGACTACATAGTTAGTAACAGCAAAAGCTGAACTCATAGCAGAGGAAACTGTATCATCTATAATGGAAGTTGCTGATGGCATCAGCCCAGCTGATTCCTCCCTCCAGGAATGGGGTCACAGCTAAACAGAGCTCCAAGAAAGATGGAGCTGAAATAACACAGAGAATGCAATGTTAGAAGTTGAACTAACAAAAAATTCAGAAATAGAAAGTAGAAGAACAGTGAAACAGTATGATGAACAGTGGTCCCTATGTCCTCCAGCAGCCTAAGGCTATAGCAGCATAATTAAAGAGACAGTTAAAGATAGTTTAAGCCACTGTAACTATAAGCTATACCAAAAAGAAAAGTTTTAACACTAGATTTAAAAGTAGATAAGGTTTCTGACTCACAGACTAAAACTAGTAGTTGGTTTCACAGGAGAGGAGCGTGATAATTTAAAGTGCTTCCTCCATTTCTACTTTTAGAATTTCTAGAAAACCACTGATAAACATGGAAATTGAGAACAAAGTGCTCTATTAGAACACAAGGAACAATCCGATTTCTGTTAAAATATGGAGACTGTTTTCTTTCTGTATATGTGAGAAAATTGAATGTTAAATGTTATTCTGGATTTAACAGGTGGCCAATGAAGAGAAATGCTGGTGAAGATTCTCAGTCATTCAGGTCATAGTCATTCTGAAAAATGTAAAAAAAAAACAAACAATCCACTGCAATTTGTTTCCATGTTTTAAGACGTCTCGCTTCCCATCATGAAATTCTCTTTAATGCCATCCCTTTCAGAGACATAGACAGGTATGGGGTACAGTTTGAATAAAAAAAAAAAAACGTCCTCGATGGGAAGCGAAACGTCTTGAAACTTGGAAACAAAGTCCAGTGAATTGTTTTTGTTGTTTTTTTTTCAGAAAGAGATAAATATGTTTGTAGTAACATAACTATGATATTTTGTTACTTGGAAATTATGTGTTACACAGGAGTAAATTGGCAAGTTTGTTTTTCAATAGTTAAGCAAATTAATTTATAGTTCCATTTGTGATAATGTATAAGTAAGGGGTACATTGAATTCATAAGAGATGGAGAATGGATGTTGCATTCATTAACCTGAACAAAGTTAAATCTATGTACATTTGTGTGATGGAACATGTATCACCTGTGGATACAGGGTTACTTTATCAGAAATGGTGTCACTGATTTGGAATGATTATAGTGCTCCTATGATGAATCAAGAATTTGATAGCCTTTGTTATGTGTTTTTATCCATTCACTGTTATGCTCCAATTCCAGTCTATCAGGTTCCAGTTTTTAACATTGCAAATTAAGTTTTTTTATTTCATCTGGGTTGTTTTCATTTCTTTCAGTGAAAAAATAGTTTATTTAGTTTATGTTCCTTTTTTTAATGTTTCAATTTTCATTAATCTAAATGTCTGCGAGAGAACATGTACATAGGTTTGTATTAGATGTTATTATGGCAATCACACCATTGCAAACTCGACTTTAAAAAGTGGACTTAATACCTAATCTATTTCATGACCAATAAAAGAGGAAACTCTTCTGCTGTTTATGACCAAATATGGGCATCTGCCTAACTCTTAAAAGAGGCAAAAAGAACCATAGTCCTGCAGTTTTTTTTCTTAACTTGGAAGTTTAGTTTATTCATCTTTTGGGTGATGGTTGTGAAAGATTGTTATAGCAACTTATTGACATCAATCTTCAACTGTTCTGTCTGTGCATCAGGTAATTCTGATGCCAGGTCATTTCCTTATGCTAGTTGACGGGTTCTTATCTTGCTTCTGTGATTTAATTTGCCTAAAACACAATCGACATGAGTCTATCAGCATTTTTCAGCTGCATTAAAACACAACAACAACATCTTTGCTTTCATTTTATGCAAAATATGTCATTTTTTCTTGAGATTGTATCTCCTCCAGCTGAGATATCTTTCAGAGTCAGCCAAGAAAGGCCTCCAGCTGTGTAACTGATTTGCCAACAGTTGAACATGTTGGTTATGTTCTAAACCCTTAGAAATATGTGTGTTTTTAAAACAGACATTCATTAACATTTGCTTCCTCCCCTGGAGATACAGCAACATAGGTAGAGCTGTCTTTTTAAC